AATAAGCTTTCATATTAAATGATTTTTTTTTAAATATTAATAACAAATTAATATTAAAATATTTATGAGTTACTAATTTAAATATTAAAATTTATATTTATATATCCAAACATATTTAAATACCTTATATTTTATTATTAATATGTAAAAATAAAATCTAAACACATTCTACTATTAATTTATAATTAATATGTAGAAAAAATTAGTTAGCATATCCATATATATTAAGCATGTAAACAAATAACTAAAAAAACAATGGCTCAGTGGTAAGTCTTTTGCCTAGCAATCTCATAGACTAAGTTATATGTCTTAGACGGATGACATATATTCCCAAGTAAAAGGACTTGAAAAAAAGGGGATGTGTGAAAAAAAGGGGATGCGTGTGTTGTATAGGTAATATTTTCAAATTTAAAAAGTCAAAAGTTTCTTTGTCTGAAAATCAAGAGTTGAGGGATAAATTTAAGAAAATGCGAAAAAGTCAAGAGATGACAAATGTGTTTATGGCAAATATTATATCAATGATACAAAATCGATTATCTCAAAAAGATTTGAATGCTATTTTACGAGCTTCAAGGCATGTATATTATATTTTACTTTTTTGGGTTTATATTTCAAATATTATGAAAATATTTATTGAATTGAGTTTGTAACTTATTTTATTTTATTTTCAATAGGCTACAGATGTTTTTAGTACCCTAAACTAGAGAAATTCTCAAAATTTATGCACCGATGAAGATGGAAGAGAGGAAGATTAGAAAGTGCTTTCATCTTACATATGTTATATGTTTTTTTTATCGTTGTAGCATCTATTTTGGTGGTTATCATATAATCGACATTACTTTATTATTTTATACATGTTGTAAGACTTGCTATTTTGAGAATATAATTGAAATTTTCTTTGATGTTGTTTTAAATTTTATAGAAAGTATTGTCAAAATTTGATTATTAAAAAAATATTAATTATAAAAATAACTAAAAAATATTAATTACAAAAAAGAAAAATATTTGTAAAAAAAAGGACATACACCAACAATTAATTTAGTCATAGACCAAGAGTAATATGTGGTGGATAAAATTATTAAATAGTATAATAAATCGTTGCTATAGCGTTGAAATTTTGTGCTACGCCTGAAAATTGTTGTTGGTATATGATACTGGAACGGGAAAATATGGTTAGTATATGGAATTCTAGTTGATAGAAACAATCGTTCGTTGGTATAGGTTTTTTACCTTTACCAACGGGTTTTGGACTTTTACCAACGAACTTTTGTTGTTGGTAAATATAAAATTTCTTGTATTCAACATCACAAATCATATCTTTTAGAGTATCATTCATAAATTCATTAACTTCAACTCTATGTGACGCAAGTTTTTTGTCACTTCACCATACCATACTCATTTTGTGGAATTTTGAATAATTACATCACAACCTAAATAATTGAATAAAAATCCCTTTGATGTTTTTGCGTATGTCGGTATTTTTTACAAGGACACCCAAAAATCTCATTATTGATAGGAAAGCTTTTTTCGCGAATTTAAGAAACCGAATCACTTAATTCTTATACTCCTTACTTAATCTATTGTTTTTCATCCAACTACGATTCATAATCACATACAACTTCTAAAAATGAAATAAAAATTATACACAACCAACAAAAATAAATATTCCATCTCAGTAAAACAGCAATTACATTAAACAACAATAACTACATATACCTTAATTACAACACTACATTATACCCTAAGTCTCAAAAACCATAGCCATAACAATAATAATAACAACAACAACAATAACAACAACAATAACAACAACAACAACAACAACGACAACAACAATAACAACATTAGTGGTACAGTCATTGAGAAAGTTTTGCATACCAGAAATATGATGAGAGAGTCAAAGAAAAGTGTTGGTTTGAGGTTCGAGCTTCCTTCTTCCATGGAGAAGATGAAGAATGGTGTTTCAGTTTGTTAGGTGGAGAATAATGGTGTTTTTTTTGTTCGCTAGGGTGCAAAAAGTTTACGAGACATAATGGAAAGGGAATGAGACATAACATTCTCATGACTAAATGAAATACTTTTTAGCATTTATATCTTGGTTTTTAGAAGAAAAAAAACTAAGGAAACACAACTGAGGTAAAAACAGGGTTCAATTTAATAAAATAAAATATTAATCAATATTTTAAGTCGATTTTCTAGAAAACAGAGGAATAAGATGATTTATAATATAAGGGTGTTATTAGGGTTCTTGATAAGTGAAAATTGTAGCTATTTTTGTATATACTTTTTGTTACAGTTATCGACTCTTTATTGTTAATATCGGTTGAATAAACTCGACTTTTGTGTAAATACATTTAGTTTGTGTTTATTTGTAGTTTTTGTGTACATAGTGTATCGTTTGATGTTTTTCCATTTATTTTGTAGGTATTTGTTACATTTGGAGCATTGAGGAATAAAGTGTCGAAGACACAGCTCCAGATGCACGTTTTTGGAATAAAAGACAAGTTTTTAGAAGTTTTGCCCAGGAGAGCCCGCTTAGCGCACAAAAGGCCGCTAAGCACTCAAAAGGCCGCTAAGCGCAAGTGCGTCCAGCATATTTTGTAGCGCGCTGGTTGCGTTTTGACATTTTGGCAGAAGCTTAGTTTGGAGCCCGCTTAGCATGGATATCACGCTTAGCGTAGTTTAGATCAGTTTAATGTATAAATATCATGCAGTTCGCTTAGCGCGATGAGCCCGCAAAGCTCAGTCTGCTGAGATTTGTTTTATAACTTCATTTTCAGTTCATTTTTTGTTATGGTTTTGGGGTGTTTTTGTTCCAAAATTCCATCTACCTTATTTTTGATAGATTAGCTTAGAAAACAATATTAGGGCTTCGCTTATGGATGATTGGAAGTGAATTTCTCATCGACCGATGCTAACAAATCGGAAGATTTGTGGTTTATCTCTTCTTCTCTATATGTATTTCTCTTTTGTTGGGTTTTGTATGTATATTTACTTTAAACTCATGTATATTTATCGCTCATGGAGTTGTATAAAACTTGCTTTAGAAATCTTTGTCGATTGTTATCTTTGATTTTTTTTCTCTGTGCTAGGGATTTAAGTTGCTATAGACATATATTGCTTGGATTCTTATCTAGGATGATTATTTGTTAGTTTCTAGATTCTAAAGATAGATTTAGAGTTGACATTCACTTAGGGTGTCTGTAATTAATGCCTCTATGTTGTTTGTGTCGCTCTGAGAGATCATTGATGCAAGCGAGCACGATTGACTTCTGTGTTATTAAGGTTGGTTGAGAGATCGTCGCCGAGGTGATACAATGGGTGTTGTTTTGATACGTGATGAGATTGATGAATATTGTAGATTGAGTATAACTAGTCGATAGGTTTAAGTTTGTGACGAGTAGAGTACACTAGAGTCGGATAAGTTTGTCTTTCCTTTTTATACATTTATTTTTTGTTGATACATTTCCTTTCAACCCATTTATTCCCGAAACAAATTAACAACCGATTTGTCAAACGGAATTTCAATACACCAATCTCTGTAGACACGATACAATATAACCTAAATATCATCCAGTAAAAATAATACTTTGTTTTTTGCTTGCCGCTTTACCACTTCCAACAGTTCTAAATAAAGCATAAAATTGCAGGAGTTGAGAATCAAATCTCAAACCCTGATATATATTTTCTATCAATTTTTTACAATATCGAGGGATAAGATTTAATTCTTTAAAAAGATAGCGCATTTCAGGTAAGTTGACCTCGATTTTCCATTAATTGAGGTGATCGTTTTATCATAAAATATATTATCTATAATAGTGATTGTTTCTGACATCTTGACATTCGACAAACAAAATTTCACCTTAGATATTTTGCTAAAATATGAATAGATTTTTGACTTTTTGGATTTTTTTACCTAATTTTCTTTTGGCGAAAATAAAAGGATGCATATTTAATTTTGATGTAAATTATGATAAATTCAGTTTTTTTTTTTAAATCTAATAAAATAATTTGATATTCTTTGGACAATTGTCGTAGATAAAATTGTAGGAAAGAAAAGTGACTTAAAAATTTATTATACAAAATTATACGATTTATTTTTGACATTTTTGGTTTCTTAGTACCAAAAGCATATAATCTTTTATAGAGAGTTTAAAGATTTATGAATAACAATATTGTATCTCTTAGGTCTATGAATATAGTTTTTAAGAGAATTTATTTTGCAATTTAAAAAGGAGTAGCGGTGCAACTTATTGTATTCATAAAAAATATGTTTGAATTTAGTTGTATTGCGATGACAAATTGATCATATTTTATACATCAATCTACATTATTAAATATTATTATATATCATATATTCAATAAGTCTATAATTTTTTTCTTATAATAATACAATAATATACTACATCCGATGCAATAAACATTTAAGCCATCAATTTTCAAAACAATATCTCAAACACATTTGTCAAAAAGTGATGAAAATCATTGCTATTTATAATGCTGATGGTTTTGATTACAGCTATATCCAAACATATAAACATTGATTAAACCTAGTGCTCCTAAATATAAATCACAAAGATGAAATATGAACCTGTTTGTCTATCACACTCCTCTCATCTAATGTCATCTAGATTCCTTAGCCCGTCACCCCATTACCTTCATCTTTTCTAAAGATACAAATTATCTTTATTAATAATGCGTGAGTAAATAATATCAGTTGATTTATCGAATCTTAAATAAAATTATTAAAAATGCGTTTTAAGTTTAATTTATTATTATTCTTATTTATTAACACATTTCAGACTATACGTTAAAAGAATGAGATAATCTCTAAAATCGTGTCAGAATGTGTGAAATTGGTTACTGTATCAAATCCAAATTATTTTTCCACCTTCTATAAATACTTTCCACAAGTTAAAATTTTGTCAATCAAAATCCAAGTTGGCTTCTTCATATGCAAGTAAACCCAAACAACTATTTTTCCCTTAAGTTTTCATAAAATGGATACAACAGCCTATGCTTCCTCAAGCCATGGATTTTCACAAAGATCACTGGCTATGATATTAGCTTTAGTCTCAGCTGTAGTGTTATCTCCTTTATTTGTGAATTCAAAGAGTGATAGGAGATATTATGAATCAAAATGGACTAGCTCTGGTTTTGTTTTGCCTATGATTCTTTTTGGACTTATAATTGCCATCAAAAGAACCTCTTCATCAAGCTCTTATTCTTTGTCATCATCTTCAAGAGCTTCATTGTTACCATCTCATGATCCTTCTTTGGTGCTTAGAATTGGAAGTTCTTCTTGGGGGTTAGCATGTGTTTTGGTTATGCTCATGCTTGTTCTTTATTGGCAAACCTCGGTTCAAGAGTTTTTATGGAGATAAAGCAATCGATATGATCAAGGTTTTAAATCACGGTCACACATTCGCTCAATCGCGTCTTGATACTTGATATTGCAAATTGCAAAGAATCATAGCCGGAGATATAGATTTTTATCAAAAACCATGGACAATGATTTTCCATCTTCTATTAACTTTAGTTAATTTCTATGTGAGTTTATGTAATAATATGAGAAACTCTTATTAGCAATTTTGAAGTTCTCATTTTGGTATTTGTATATCTCATAGTCATATAACATCGATTTAAATTGATTTTCAGAGTCAAGACTAAATAATGATTGGATATAATTTTCAAACCATGGAAGAAAAAACTATAAGTGACTTATATAATGTTTAGTTAATAACTGCAAGAATATGTTTAAAAGAATGCTAAAGATGTTTGTTTGAGTATAATTGCAGCACTAGCAATATGTTCCAGTTCTAATAGTAGTATAAAGTCCATCAAGTCAAGGGCTACTGTGATGGGCCCATTAGAGAATGAGATCCAAGAGGAGATTGAAAAACTAAAGGGGATTACTTTTGAGAATTTCTTATCACATCTTATAGGGTAGAAAAACATCCTATGCAATTCTGAAAATGCCTCTGTGTAATTGAAATGTATTTCTGAGACACATTTTTTATTAACAATAGTTAAAATCGAAAATGTAATTACGGAATAAAACCATAAATGCATTTTCGATTCCTATGTAGACAATAGTAGAAAAATTATGTAGGCAATAGGTATTTTTCGCATTATTTTGCATATTGTTAGAAACTACAAAACGAATACAAAATATTATCCAAATACAAATCAAAAATCGATAAATAAAATATTATCTAACAATGAAGAAGACTACTGGGTATGGTGGACTATGAGTCGGCCCGTCACCCTCCTAGCATTCTTCTGCTGCCTCTTGTACCGCAGAGCCTCATGAACCTCTGTCATGATGGCATCTAAAACACCTCTAACATCCGAACCATCATGAAATAGACATCCATCAATACCCATCTGCAGGAAACACGTCAGTGGAATGATCGGCTTGTGCCTGCTTCTCCTTTAGAATATTTTGTGAGTTGGCCTCAGTGGGTTTCCTGGAGCATCATCTACTAGATATGGATGGGACACCCTAAAAAACCATATGATATAACCATCCACGTAGCTCCAGTCTTCTGGTGGTAAGGTACTTCGGGCCTCATCTAGCACAAGATGATTAATATAATCATCAAACAAAACATCCATATCCCTCAGTTTCACCAGGGGAGGAGAAGACACAACATGATCTCGGGTGAAACAACCGACTGAAAATCATCAAACAATAAAGTCTCCATCAAACGTCTTTTATCCCACATGAAGGAAAAGGTAAACATCGAGAAAACCTAAGAAGGGAGAATTCACGGTCTTGCGACCAAGAGATCAGGTAAGGGAGTCTGTTACGCGAGGGGAAGGTATTAGCACCCCTCACGCTCATAGTACTCTACAGTATCCACTCTTGTTATATATCTTATGAGTGTGTTTAAATTATGCTTATTGTTTACTACTGAGGAAGATTGCGTGCAAAATAAAGGAGAAAATAATGTAGGGAAAATAAAGTTGTACTCGCTTGGGTCCTACCCCCAATGCCTACGTATCCTTTTTGAGGAATCAGAGCTACCGTAGTTCGACTAACATGTTTTTATTTGTTTTGTATTTTTTATGAACAACGTTAATTCCCCCTTCTTCCGCAGCTCGACCTTTGGAGACTCACGCATTGGCACAGAAATAAATTAATCATGTCCTTACTGAAAAGGTTTTGAGTTACGCCCTTAAAGAAAGATGCCACATTTGATTGGTTTGTGTTTTGTTACCTTGAAAAAGGGTTTAAGTATGATTAGCATATTTTGTGATTTGCTAAGAAAAATGTTTAATTTTTAGAATGCAAGGATGCAAAAGAGGAAGAAAGAGTCTAAGGGAGACTAGCTTATTTCTAACCTAATGTTATCATACAATGGCAACCCTACGATTTGGATTAATAAAAGGGAAACGTCTACCTGATGTTAGCATGCATGACTTGCAACCTAAGGTCTAACTTGTGTCCGAAGAAATAAGCACATCCTAAGGGGACATGGTATGTACAAAGATAAATCAAGTAAGCTTAAAGAAGCATACACATAAAAGAGTAAGGAAAAAAAGAGAAATGCTTTATTCAAGGGGAGCCATGCAAACAAGCGGGAGTGAGATGTAAAACAAAAAGGTGATGTTCAAAGCGACTGAACACCTACCCAAGATATAGGAGGTCGAGGTAGGCGACATAAGGAAATATAAATGATCACGGAGTATCAGCATCGGCCAATGCGAACTCCTGGCGAAGCGTGGGGGTTCGATTACGGAACCCTTCCCTACTTGACGACTATATACACAGGAGCAGGCACAACTCTAAAGTATCATGGTGCGTCACAAGCTAAGGATGACATGAACGAAATTGCGGGGGTTGATTGCTAACCCTCCCCGCTCGCCTCTTTTTGAGGACTTCTGTATATATGCATGCAAAAATATAACACACTTGCAGAATACCTACTCAAAGGTAGGGTTTTAACCAAACCACACACAAGTAGCACACAATGGTAAACAATGCAGAATTTCCTTAAACGGGTCTTTAAATAAACAAGAGGGTTTCCTGACATGATCATCAATGGAGACCCCCGTCATACATATCTACCCTACTTCTCATGGCATCAGAAAGCAGTAAATCCCTACTTCCCATGATATCTAAAAAAGCAGTAAAGAAGTACGATAAAGTGCGAAGAAGTACGAAGGTAGTAGCGACGACTACCAAAGTGAGCAAATCATCAAGAGAGGACGAAAGCAACAGAGATGCATGGAGTACGCGTCGAGCAAGCTTCACCAAGAAGCAAACAAAGTCAGAAATAATATCAACCTAAGATAAAAGCAAACGTGTGTTGCAAATGCACACGTAATCAGAAGTTCATGTATAAAGTATCATAAAGTATCACACGCATCAGGACAACATATAATACAGTATGAATTTCTCAGGACGATGAGAAATAAGGCGTGTCGCATCGGAAGCGAGCACATGTCGTCTGCTTCGATCACCTAACTACCTGTTATGTTACATGATCAAAAGCACAAAAATGTACCTTGCCCAATTAACAAACATGTTAAAAATAACAAGGAAAGTATATGGAAGAAAGAGTAGAAGAGTGTCTGGAGAAAGTAAGGCCAGAGCAAGGCAAAAGAAATAGAAAAAAAACAATGCTGGCAGTTTGAGTCGACTCAGAGATGGGATGAGTCAACTCAAAAAATGAGTCGACTCAAAGGGTCAGCGTGACACTTCCTACAAGTGGCCAGAATTGGTTTTTGTTCAGTTTGTGTCGACTCATAGCACTGTATGCATCGACGCACAGGTTTGAGTCGACTCATAGGGTCAGCGTGACACTTTCCGCGGGTGGAAAACGGTTTTTGTTCATTTTTGCGTCGACCGGAGCTAAGTTTGAGTCGACTCAAACTGCCTGATAGTACAATTTTATGCAATTTGTAACTTTGAAGCAACATGACTTTTGCATCAAGTATCTGTTTTGTGCGTGGTTCGAATCGTTGGAAAGCTTGAAAATTGTAGAATATCCATGACACGAAACGGAAACCAAATTAACGAATGCACACGCGAAAATTCTCCTTGATCATTTCATAATCGAAGTATGAACTCACAATCCGTTTTTATGAGTTTCGACATGTTTTTACCGGATTAGAAAACCGAATTCACACCAATTATGAAATCATCATAAAAAAGAGGATTTATGTGCATTCAAAAAATGGTGATCTCATGCCTTAAATCCAAGATGTCATAACTTGAGCATTGTGTCTAGCACATAATCTACACAAGATTGCACATGGATTTTGATTCACAAAGCAAGGCTCTAGTCTATGTCAAATCACATGCAAATTCAGATTTCTCATCAATTCTCAAAGGCAACAATGTTAAACAACATGAATAAGCACTTTTCTTGAGAATCAATTAATTTTAAAAGTTATTATTGACCATTCAATTCCGGATCTAAGCCATTTGATCAATCAGTTTACAATTCCACCACTGGATCCACAATCACAATTCAATTTTCTATTCAAAACTCACTTCAATTATTAATTCTAGAAAAAAGGCTTATTTCAAGAATTAATAATTGAAGTGAGTTTTGAATAGAAAATTGAATTGTGATTGTGGATCCAATGGTGGAATTGTAAACTGATTGATCAAATGGCTTAGGCTTATTTCAAGAATTAATTATGCAAGAGTACTTAAATCAAGAAAACCAACTGTGGAATCGAAGAGGAGGTTAAGATGAAGAGATCGCCGATGTCAGATCGAAGATCGAAGAACTCTAGCAAGAGAGGGAGGGGAGCGAAATTCTTGAGGAGAGAGAGATTTCTTCAACTTCCTTTGTGTTCTTGAACAAACTTGAGAGAAAAGTTACTTTGATCTTCTTGCACTTGAGAGGGAATCAAGAGTAGTGTTTTTTTGTGTTTGTGAAATTATGAGCCTCCTTTAGAAAATTGGAGTCAAATGAATATATAATGTGGAATCATGTGAATGGATTTGGTTAATGAGCCTCAAATAACCACAAGCCAAAGTGCAAATTTTTAAACCGCTTGAGTGCGACACGTTCCGGGAAAATTCGCAGAACTAGGTGCAATTTTTAAAGTTGAAACGTGTAACAAAGTTGTAGCCAACGTCGAGAAAAACCTCGTGTCCAAATATGGGCTCAATCGGATAAACAATGAGAAAATTATGAATTTCCGAAGTTTCGCCTCACACAACTTTAATTCCCAATTCAGAATTTTCAATGCGTTGTGCAAACTCCGGGCCAAAACGGAAGCCTTCGGGGTACTGTTTGCTCACGGACATCGAACACAAAATTTAGCTGACTCAATTTTTGAGACAACTTCATTGGAACGGGTTCGACACAATAAAAATAGACCGAGTTACGATTTTTACAATATCGTGAAACGGTGCAAC